AACAGAGGTGTTGTTTGTGACAGCGTCGGCCTGCCCCGTGTGGTTGGTTGTGGCAGGTTTTGAAGAGGACAGCCAACCACACGCCGAAACGCTGGAGACGGACTGGACCAGGGGTGCCCGAAAGGGTTGGCAGATTCAGCCTTAGACCAGAAAGGAAACCATAGGAAGTTGCGCAGTCAACTGCTTCTCGGCGACCCTGGCGCGTCTTAGCCGTTGCCAGGCGAGCCTGAGGCGGGTGTACAAGGAGCGCCTTGTATGCTGCACTAATATGGATATGCTTGGCGAGTGACTGGTTATCAGCCGAAGGTTTCTCCAGGAACTCGCCTTCGGTGGTGAGGCCTTTTTTCCCACCAGTCAAAGAGGTAGCAGTGGTGGCTTTACCTAGAAGGGGTCTTCGCGCGCGGCGGAGACGACGCAGGGACAACCGGCCCCCGCTGGGGCCCGGCCGGCCAAGTACATTTCCGCGAATTCGTTCGAGAGGTACATGCCTGGATCAACGTGACCACAGGCAGTGTGTCGCCCCACCAACAAGCTGCAGCATTGCAGCTTGGTCTGGGAGGCCTCGCACGGACCATGGCCATGAGAGTTCCCCCAGCAGTCATCAATTTTGACGTCAACATAGGTGGCCGCCATACTGATGGTGTCACCTACATGATGTTCCTCCTCAGCACGATGTTTGAGAACTTGGAGGAGGAACGCCAATTTGACACGGGCACTGCTCTCACCGACTTTCGAGTCCATACGGGGGAACGGATCGACCAGGCGCTGGCGCGCTTCGAGATAGCCCGCTACGAGGCTGAAGCGGTAGGCTCTAACATCCCCAATTTCCAGATCTTCACCGTCCATTATGTTCAGGGCCTCCGGTGTGGGGACGTCGAGTGCACGACAACTTCTGCAGCCACTTAACCGCCAAATGCTTAGGAATCAGCAGCAATGTGACTCTCTGCTTGAACGCGCGAGGTCATATGCTCACATCGCTGAGCGAACCCCTGGCAATATTGGTGGTATCTTCAGCCACGGTCGCCGCGCCGAAACCGATCATGCTGCAGCCGCTGCAGGGCAACCTGCTACGAACGTCTGGAACGATGGTCCACAACCAACGGAAACCGCTACGCTATTAGTCCAAAATGGTGGTTCGGCTGCGGGGTCGCAAGACTCCTGGGCCAGGTGTGGGGGGCCGCTGGCAACGGCGGCCCCATGCGCAAGCCGCTGCCCTTGAAGGCTCCACGGGGCAACCCGCTGCGTCCGAAAACGACTCTGGAACCGACGCCGACACGCCATCAGACGACGGAGCGAATGCCCTAGGTTACTCCGACATGCCCACGTATCTTACGGAAGAGCAACAGGCTCACTGGCTGTTTTTAGGATATCGGGAGCATAAACGTAGATGGAGACGATTTATGCTGAAGCCAGTTCGCAAGGCACGACGTACTATCCGACGGGCACTTAGGGGAAAGGGTAAGGGTCGCGGCAAGGGCATGGGGCAAACGACGGCGATTGCACGGCAGAGGTATGTTAGCTTTCCTGGCGCCCCCTGCTGGACCACAAGACGAAGAACTATTCCTGGGCGCGCGCATGAACCGTAGGCGCACTCCAGGAAAGGGCAAGGGGCGCCGGGGCAACCCGAAAGACGCTAACGGCAAAACAATGGAATGTGACATTCGCCATAACACGCAACATTTTCGCCGCGAGCATCCCCGGGGCGATGGGGGAGGCAGAGGTCCGTCGATGCATTTGGCTCAAACCGACTCGGATATACAGAACGTCGATTGGGAAACGCCATTTGCCGACCCTGTCGACAATGCAGTTGCAGTCGCTAACTTCATGGCTGCCAGATATCTGAGTGCCAGCATGTCCTTCGAGAATTACGCCAACGAGCTCTTCGAGGAGATATTCGCTGGCCAGGGCGATGTCAATCTGACAGGCTCGTTAGGCATGCCCATCGCGGGGCAACCTGCGCGCGTCGAGTTCGTCGAGAATTTCCACATGCCCGCCGAAATAGATCTAGATAGGGCGGGGGCACCGGCGGATTCAGAAGCCGCAATTCCAGTGGCGGACGAGGAAATGCGCGTGACATTGACAATCCGACAAACATGGAATTCTATGATGACGATCTTTCGCGGGGAACCCTGCGAGGTGCTGGCGACCTCTCAGAGCGCATTCAGCACGAACCTGAACACAACGAAGAACATCAGTTTGCATTCGCGGCTATGGGGCGGTCTCCGAGCTGCCAGGAGCGATCGACAAGCCGTCAAGTCTGGAGACGCGCGAACCGCACGGACGACGATGGCGACGAGTGGCAAGCTCAAGACCAGCGTCTGCTACGCCGTGGTCGCGCCCGCAGTTATTCACGCGGGCATTCGCGCGCGCGCTCCAGCGGCGCTCGCCCCAGCGGCAACGAGCGACCTCGCCCTCCCGATGCGAGGGCCCCAAGAACTCCACCAGGGAGGGATGCTATACACGGGGCCCCGCCAAGGAGGGATCGCCCGCGGGGTGACCCGCCTCACAGGGGGGGATCATTCAGAAGCGCATCCAGCAGACGAGGTGCAACGCCTTGTCAGCTACGATGATCATGGATTAGCTCGTCAGCACATGCCCCCTGGTGCAATGCAATGCTGGCTGGGCCAAGGTTGGGCCGGGCACATAATTCGCCGCCGGAATTCTCTTCGCAATGTTGAGCGAGGCGAAATGGCAAGATCGTTCGCTCCAACAGAGGAGCGGGCACCAAATCACAGGAGTCTCAAAGGCGGGGCCTCAAGAGGGCCATCATCGAAGAATGGAAAACTTGCCGACGATTTGTCTGCACGTGCTTTGCCCATGCTGCCCGCGGACCCGGCCGCCCCATGAGGCGCCCATCAAGCAGCCCTAACGTCGGGGAAAAAAAAAACAAACAAACTAACAAACCCAAAAAAAACACCATGGGTCTGGTCTCGCGGCGATGGTCGGGGTCGCGTCGCAGATCCGCCCAAATACCCACGCAGAGAGCAGTTGACAATAATGGATTGTCAGCCAGTTGATGAACATGAAAGAGTTCGCACCGAGGAGATGGGATAACTTTCCTCCAAATCGCGACCTGAAGGTATCCAATCGTGAGGATCACGCGGGGAGACCAGCCCCGTTCAAACAGGAAGGTGCCGACCAGCCAGAAGATGATGAAGCTGCAAGTAATCAGGTCCTTGCCGAAGCAGTAGACCCCACCGAGGCTGCTCCTTCAGGTTCCGACTCGGACTGCTCTGACACGGGCCGCACCTCTGTCGCGGACTACATTCACGTTCCAGGCGCGGTAATCGATCCCAGTGACAGGGTCACGGAAGATAATGATCTTCCCCCAGGCAGAAGAGTCGCCTGCCACGCTGCGACCGTATATAGGATGATAACCCTTATTGTTAGAGCTGATATGTACGCCAGAGGAATGCAGGCGATATTGGGGGCAGCTGCGCACTGCACATCAAATGACGATCAACCCAGCATGCAAGCCATGTGCCGATGACGGGTCTGATCGACATATATCTCTATATATATATGTATATATAGATGTATAGGCGGTTTGTAATTAAACACGTTGTGCAGAAGTCAGCAAGCCGACAGGGGACGGACGTGGATCCGTCACCGTTTTTGCTCAAGCTTTTAATTTGCGGCCACCGCCTATGCAATCCCTCGGGCACATTCTCTCGGGGGCCCACCGGCGGGCTCGCATCGCAGTGGGCGAGCCAGGCCGGCAACTGTGTGGAGATCGCCAATAGCATCGGCGACTTGAGGGTCGCCTTCACTTGTCTCTTCGCCGCAGGTCTGCTGCTGGGCTGTATCGGAGGGTGTCTCTGCTGCAAGGGCCTGGCTGTGAGCCATGGCCGCCTGGCGAGCTGGTCACAGGATCGGAGTCTTGTGGAAAGACGGAGAGGATTGGCAGACTCGCGTGCTCCTTTGTCCTGGAACCACCGCCGACGCCGAGAGCGATCTCCAGATGACTGGCCTGAAAGCAGCGGGGAAGAACGGCGACATATGGTACGCTCTCCTACCCGACGGGGACGTGTACATCCACGTGCTGGAGCCCCCGGGAGTCCGGGGATCGGCGCTGTGCGATCAGATGGGCCTGCCCGAGCGGAGCGGGCCCTTGCAGTTCGGGAGGACGTGGCGAGCAGGGGGCAGGATCTACGGACAGGAGTGGACCCCGACACCAGAGGAGTTCGTCGACGCGCTGCAGTTCGCGCTGGGCGGCTCCTTGTTCGAGGCAGCCCCGCAAGTGGCGGACAAGGCGGTCTCGGTGCTGCGACGGATGAGCAAGAAGGGGCCACTCCCAGCTGGCGCGGTCTTGGCTGGGGCAGCTCCTCTGAGTAGCTTTGCGCGTGGCTCGGGTGCCCTGCCGTCCGCGGTGGGGATGCGCTGGCAGGTTCAGGCCGCCAGTGGCCCAACGCCCGAGCGCCGCCCGCTGCAGGACTACGACGTGGACGAGTACTGCACCGCGGGCGGCTTCGCGCTGGCGTCTCAGGAGGGCGAGCTGCTCCTGCTGAGGGAGGTCGAGAAGGCCTCGCCGGAGGATGACGCGGAGGTGGACGCCAGACCCCTGCCGCTCGTGGAGGTCGCGGGCGTTCGCAAGCGGCACTTCAAGGACTCGCTCAAGGGGCTCACCGAGACGGCCTGGCGGGAGTGGCCCGTGCGCGGGCCACGTGCGATTGTCTGGTGTGCCAACTTCGTGGGCGACCAGGACAGTCATCCACGGTCGAGACACACTAAATGGAAGGCCGAGTGCGGTCTCACGACCGCCGACGTCGGGGTTTCTGAGCACGAGTTGTGTATGCGAGTATTGGAGCTGGCCATCACCTATGACCAATTGAACATCGGGGAACTGGCCAGCTTCGAGCTCATGCTCAGGCGCGCGCAGATGACGGAGTGGAGATACAGAGAGCGCGTGCTGGGGCGTCCACTCTTGGACGACACGGCGGAGGATGAGTTCCTCTACATGGGGACGGCGGAGACGAGGGGGCTACTCATGGTGGCCCCGGAGCTGCAGGCTCACATCTCGGACGAGCTGCACCGCGAGTCAGCGGTGCTCAAGGAGAGGCGCAAGCTCCGCGAGGAGCGCCTGGCGCCCCGCGGCCTACCACCAGCTGGCGGCGGCGGGAGCTCGGCGTCCGCGGCAGCGATGGAGACGAATCTCAATCAGCAGGCGGCGGAGCTCTCGAGGCTCCAGGCGAAGCTCAACCACGGCGGCGGGGGCGACCCAGCCACGGGGGAGAGGCAGGCCGCGGCCAAGGGCCGCGGCCGAGGCACCTAGTCGCCCTGATGATCGCGCCGCGGGAGATCCTCCCTCTGAGGGGCCCTGCGGCTTCAGGCGCCTCGCCATCCGTGGTGGGCGTCAGCCGGGCTGTGCGGTCACGCGTTCGTCGACGCGCAGCCTGCTCGTCCTGGGCCAATGAGATCATCGACACAGTCAACAATTTGTACTTCCATGGCGAGGTACAGCAGCATCACTCCGTCTCAGCTGGGCAGCAGCTCGCACTGGACCACATCCGTGACGTGGTGCAGCGAGCTGGACCGCCCATGATCGAGCCCGCGGCAGCCTTTCGAGTGCTGTGCGGATCGGCGCCAGGGTATACTGAGCCCTCGGCAGAACATTCACCCTATCGACGAGGCGCAGTCTCGTTGCCGGCTCCTGGAGCTGACCTTGCTCGTGGCGACGTCTGTCTTCGAGGACCGGCATTGCAAATGTGGACAGGGTGGCGAGACTGTCTCTTGCACCCGGACCCGGACCTCTCCAGGGCAGTGCGGCCGTACTCTGACCCCAAGCTGATTCGGGACAGCGGCACGTACGCCGAGTTTTTGGTGGACATGGCACGTTCAGGGCTCGTCTCCTTCACGAGCGAGAGGCCATCCACCGTGGGAGTCTTCTTCGTAAAGAAAGGTCCAGATCGTCTCCGACTCATCCTGGACACTCGACGAGCAAACAAGCTGTTGTTGGATCATTGCCACACCCAGTTCTCTACGCCATCGAGTTGGTCCTCTTTGTACTTGCCACCCGAGGCGGAGCTGATGATGTCTCAGACCGACGTCAACAACGCGTTCTACCGCATCCAGCTCCCCCCCGGCATGAACGACTACTTCATCCTGTCCAGCATCGACGCCAAGTGGATCACCGAGGCCGCTCCTGATCTGGCCCTTGGTCTCCCCGCGGGCATCCGCATCTCCCCGCGCATGGAGGTGCTGCCCATGGGGTTCAACTGGGCGTTATTCTTCTGCCAGGAGATGGTCCGCAACGCCGCGGAGGACGCCGGCTTCGCTGACGGACGGATGTTCCTGGACCGCCACTCGGCCCCCGACATCACCACCGAGCCAGGCGCCGCCGTGTACGTCGACGGCGTGGCCGTGGTGGGGGCGGACCTGGAGGCGGTCGAGGCCGGCGGAGTCGCCGTGGCCAAGCAGCTGGAGGAGCGCGGCCTCCAGGTCAAGGGGGTCGAAGGCCCCTCGGACTCCCAGACCTTCACGGGGATGGAGTTCGATCGGACCTCCGGCCGCATCTCGCTCAGCCGCGAGAGGATCTGGAGGCTGCGCGCGGCCCTGCTGTTTGCTGCGGACCAGCGCTACTTGACTGGGCGCCAGATGCGGCGCCTGGTCGGCCACTACACGTGGAGCGCGACTCTGCGGCGTGAGCTCCTCTTCAGCAGCGTCTACGCCCGGGCGGAGAAGGCGGGCGACAAGAGGTGGCGCCTGTGGCCTTCGGCCGAACGGGAGCTCCGACAGGCCGCCGCCCTCGTGGCCTTCGCCTTCGCGGACCCCAAGCGCCCGTTCCACGCCGCGGTCGTGGCGACCGACTCAGGCGCCGGGCTGGACGACGCCGGCGGCTACGGCGTGGTCACGCAGGAGTGGCCCGTGGAGAAGGTCCGGCGCTGCTGTGGGCATGCCGAGAAGTGGCGCTACGGGGTGCAGGGGCTCGTCGCGGCCAGGGCTGCCGCGCTGGGCAGCCCCGCCGACCCCAGCTCGCCTCGCCCGACGGCGGAGAGCGGCGAGAGGACCACAGACTTCGAGAGCATGACGCGGGACGACATCGGGGCCTTCGAGAACTGGAAGCTGGTGTGCCGGGGCCGATGGGCCCGGGCCGAGGGCATCTTGAGGACCGAGGGCCGAGCATGCATGATCGGCCTCCGTCACGAGCTGAGGTCCACGAGCACGCACGGAAAACGTATACTCTTTCTTGTGGACAACATGAGTGTGGTATTGAGTTCGGGTAAGGGTAGAGCCAGCAGCCATCAGATGAACCGAACATGTCGTGAGCTTCTGCGTCTGTCAGTTGTTGCCAATCTCCAGGTCGTGATGAGATGGGTCGCCTCAGAGTTGAATCGATCCGACCGCGCGTCCCGACTCCCGGGCTCAGCCATCTCGCTGGGCGGGGCCTCGCGCGGCGGGGGGCGACGTTGCGCCGTCCGAGGCCGTGCTCGCCAGCCGCTTCGATGCCGAGCTGGAGAGCGCGGCCCGCAGCCTTGGGCCCGCCCTTGGCGGGGACGCCTGCGGCCGCCCCCTCGCCGGCCTGGGGGGCCAGCTCGCTGCTGAGGAGGCCAGGCTCGGCGCTGCCGCCGCGGAGGCCGGTGAGCTCAGCGACAGCTCCTCCAGCTCGGGGGAGAGCTGGCCAGCCGGCCCCAGCGGCAGCGACGGCCACGCGCCGCTGCGCACGGGGCGGGCCGACTGCGGCACGATCGACTCGAGCAGCATCGACCTGCGAGCCCGCCGCGGACAGCAGAGACGGCAGCACCAGGCGCGGGAGATCGCCGAGGCCCGACGCCACGGCTTCACCAGCCTCCAGATGGCCAAGATAGGGCCTCGCTCCCGCGCTCAGTACCAGAAGTTTCACCAGGCCTTCCTGGAGTGGAGCAGCCAGGAGGGTCAGCCACTGGACACCGACCTCCAGATCGACCGGGCCCTCAGCAGGTACATGGATTACCTGTACTACGAGGGCTTCAACGCGGACGCGGGCGAGAAGGTGCTGGCGGCTGTGACCTTCCACGGCCCAGTGGAGGGCATGGAGCTTCCAGGAGCTCGCCGGGCGCTGGCGGGGTTCCGGCGCCGGGCGAGCGCGAGGACCCGCAGCCCCCTGCCACTGGCGGGCGTGATGGCCATCGTGGGTGCAGCGGCAGCCGACGGCCAGCTCCCCTTTGCCCTGGGGCTGGTGCTGGCGTGGGAGGCCTACCTCAGGCTGCCGTCCGACCTCGTGAGCATGGTGGGCGCCTCTCTGGTCAGGCCAGCCGCCCGGAGCCCCCAGGCGTGCTGGGGCCTGCTCCTGTTTCCTCAGGAGGGGGAGGCGCGCAGCAAGATGGGACACTACGACGAGGGGATCATGCTGGACGGCCAGTTCGGATCCACGCTAGCGCCTTTCCTTCGCCGGCTGAAGGCCCAGACCGCCGACGCCAGCCCGCTGTGGTCCTTCTCGAGCGCCACCTTCAGGCGCCTGTTCAACGAGTACGCCGCGAAGGTCAGCCTCGGAGGCAAGAAGCCCTACCAGGTCAGGCACGGGGGAGCCTCGCTGGACGCCCTAGAGTGCCGGCGCAGCCTGAAGGAGATCCAGGAGCGACTCCGCCACCTGTGCGAGTCCAGCACCCGTCGGTACAAGAAGGGGACCAGGTACCTGGCCGAGGTCAACAGCCTCGACAGCCGGGCCCGAGCCTACGGCGAGCAGGTCCTCAGGCAGCTCGACGGGGTGGTGAGCGGGCGTGTCCGCCTCCCGCCACCGCCGGCCCTCGCCGGCGCCGCGGGCTGCGGACGGGCGCTGTGATGCGCCAAGGCGACGCCCTAGAGGCGGTGGAGCGGGCCTCGGACACCAAGGTGATCCGCCACCTCCGTCAGGGGCTCGCCCGGGCCAGCAGGCGGGGCCGGCGCCGGGGGCAGGTGTTCCTTGACGTGTTCAGCGGTGCTGGCGGCGTCGCCAAGGCCCTCGAGCGCCACGGCGACAACGGCTGCCTCCAGATCGACACGGAGGCCGACGTAGCCTTCGACCTCACCCGCCGCTCGGCCCAGCAGCTCATCTTGGGCTGGATGGCCGGCAGGCGCGTGCGAGGGCTCTGGATCGCCTTCCCATGCGCGACCTGGTCTGCAGCCTCACGGCACACGTACCGTCGCCCCGGAGAGCTCCGTGGCCGAGCGAATTTGACAGCAAAGCAAGAGCACAAAGTGAGCCTTGGTAATAAGACCCTTGCCGCCACTGTCCGTTTCATCAGAGCTGCAATCATGAGACAGATCCCAGTTGTGATCGAGAACCCTGTCACAAGTATGGCGTGGCAAGTCCCCGAAATGAAGAGACTGATGGCACACCGCAGTTGTAAGATAGCTGTTGTGGACCAGTGCACGTTTAACACCCCCTGGAAGAAGCCCACAAAACTTGCAGGCTGGAGTGTTTCAGAACCGCCCGCCCCGCTCGTCCGAAGGTGTCGTGGGAAGTCTCTGTGCTGTAAGACCCAGCCGGCGGACCGCTTTGGCTCGGGCCTATCCGCGGGGGCTGGCGGAAGCAGGAGCTCGATGGCTGGTCACTTCAGCCGATAGTATCGAGCACGCACACGTAGGGAGGACGTTGCTTTAATTACCTCGTGCTCTGAGCTGCAGTTGCTAATTTAACCCTTGATTTGTAAGAATTTGAGTGATTGCGGCACGGCCAGTAACATGAATGGGCTGTGGGGGGCTTTCCCCGAATAATCCTTCTGCCGACCGGGGCCCCAGGGACGGCTCGGTCGCAAGTCTCGTGACAGCGCGGGTTCTCTTGGTTGCAAAAACAGTGCACATTGGCGGTTTGTAATTAAACACTGTGCAGAAGTCAGCAAGCCGACAGGGGGCGGACGTGGATCCGTCACCGTTTTTGCTCAAGCTTTTACCTCCTCCTCCTCTCCTCCTCCTCTTTCTTGCGCTCTCACTGTGGGGGGCTTTCCCCGAATAATCCTTCTGCCGACTCGGGCCCCAGAGACGGCTCGGTCGCAAGTCTCGTGACAGCATAGGTTCTCCTGGTTGCAAAAGCAGTGCATATATATATATATATATATATATATATATATGTGTGTATTGCGGTGCAGTGCGACATCCAGCGCACTCCCGCAGTTGCCGACGACGCAGCTCGCACCCGCCAGGTTGTCCGCGACGTCTTGCGGAAGGAGCCCGCTCTCAGCTACGACTCCAAGAAGAGGTATCTGAAGAAGATCCTCATCAAGGAGTCGGAACTTGTTGCAGCAGCACCAACCCCGAGGAGCAGCGCGCATGTTCAGAGTGGCTCAACGCAGCTACTCGTCACAAGCCGTTGTCATCACAACCATATTCCTGATAGGCTTGCGTCATAGGTATCTTCCTTCGACGAGTACGACGGCTGGGTGGAGCTCTCGGACTTGCTCGACAAATGGCCGCCCAAGGGCTACGGGCACTGGCACAAACACCACCTGGAGACTGTCCTGCGGTGCCTCAGTAACCGCCATTGGGCATGTCAGGCGTTGGCGGTGCTGGATTTGATTGGTATGATAGACAATTCCGGCATGCAAAAGAACAGGCCCCAGGTAAAGAAGATCAGATGCGCCAGCGAGTCTCACCCGCCGTTTTTCGTGCGTCCAAGCAATGGGCATAGCAGCCCTGGCATACAGTGCCCTGAGCCCCATATGCAAAAGGATAACTGAGATTTGACATCACCAGGTGCACCTTGCTATTTTATTCATGGTACCAAATGGGTCAATATCCCGAACATGCTTCATGTCGGGCTGTCATGCCGCGCTGATGGCACTGTCAATGAAAGGGGCAGATAGTTAGATAGTTCATCCATGGATGCCCATATCTACTTGGAGATAACAGGATTCAGTCCGGCCCGCGCGTAGATTCCGAAGTATTAATCATGGTACGTCTGAAAACCGACTTCGCGAAAATATTGCAATTCTGGCGTTCCGCGAATGATATTTCTTATGGCGGCAGGTCGGGAAGGCAGAATCCCGCCGAGCCACGTCGTCCAGATCATGAGCATCCTGCCGAATAAGACCAGGGTCAGGGGCTTGCAGTGCTCGCTGGTTCTCGCGCCCAGGAGTCGGGCGGTGGCAGGCGCTGTCGAGGGGCTTTCCTGCTTGGGCCCAGGCCCCATCAAGGGGGCCGCGAACCTGTCGCTGCCTCGCCGCCCCTGAAGCGTCGAGGCAGGAGCTGCGCTCCAGTGATTTTCCATCCACGGATTTGGATTTTTCTTTGGGGGAGGGGGGGGGGGAGGAGGAGGACTCAATGTGTCCATGATCGAGTGGGACAGGCGTGGATCAATCCCTTGTACATAAGGGACAACGAGCAGAGAAATCTGCGTGCTGAGAATTTCCCTCAGACTCTGCATATGAGATTCCATATGATGCGTTGTCGCTGAGGAACTGGTCTATACCTCAGACCCCCTGCAACCAGAAGGTCGCCGGGCCGACGCCCATTCGTGAGGTCGAGTTCGCTGGTGTATTTCTGATGCAAGAGGGATACCAAGCGGGGGCACTTGCAGGGGATCAGATGGATCATGGATCCAGGCCCAGAGCGCGGACGCATCTGGTATGACGTCCAATGGGATTACGCCCAATGACGGGTTGCATGTCAACGACCCGTGGCGTGCTCAGACGCAACAGTTGCCAGTGCCTGCAGGGCGACCTGCTTCGTTCGCGCCCATGAGCAGGGCTGCGACTCCGCTTGGGACTCCACAGAGTGCTGGGAGCACCAATAGCCTGCAGGCGAGGCTCCAGAGCCCTCGAATGGACCGACATCTCTACCAGGCCTTGCAGGCGACGTCGCCGTTAGCATCGCCGCGCCCCCTTGCGGGGCAACCTGCTCTCTCTGACCACGAAGCTGCCCAGAGGGTTGAAAAGCATGATAGGTCAGCGACAGTGCATGCACAGGCAGATGCGCGAGGTCATGCAGAGTATGCGTCGGGATGGCATTGAGCTCCCGAGCGCCAGCTGGACACCCCCATGGGAGTATATTCCGGACCTTAATCCATCGCCTGATGACCCATGAGTACGGGTTTGTTCCAGCGTTTTTCAGCCGCCCGAAATGCGACCCGACGGCTGCTGAGCGACCTACAGCACCGCCGATGGATGCGCCGATGTGTCCTGAGTACTACGCTCAGGAGACGGGCGATCCACGCGGGGGGTCTCAGCTTGATAACCCGGATGTTCGGGCGACGGCCGACGACTTCTACCAGTCTCAGCTGACGCGCGGCTCCGGATACGTGTCTTGAGTACTGGGCCAAATCTTTCATTGCGGCTACTTGGCCACCCCCATGGATCCCGATGTGACGCAACAGGCCCCCGGTTTGGTGGCGCCGTCGTCCGTGGGGGAGCTGCGTCCAGAGTCTCCGGCCATCCAGGAGGCGCGGCAGGCCAACCTCATCATGCAGTTGGCCCGCCGGCGTCGCAACCAGGAGCGGCAAGCGCGCCGTCTGATGGGCCGTGCGGGGCAACCCGCTACTCCAATTTCTGCGGGGACACATGCTTTCAACCTCGCGTCGCTCGCAGCTATGCAGCCGCCACCGGCCCCGCCGATCCTGCGTGATATTGGTGAGTCCACACTGGAACGCCAGACGCGTATAAGGCCATCGGCAACACCACCGATCACCAGTGACGGTGACTTCAACAAGCGTGCCATATGCCAGGACAACTTCGTCGATCACGACGAAGTTTGGAGGCTTCAGCGTGGCCGCGTATTCCATCCACAATGCTGGGTCGAGTGGCTCATGCGCATGTGGATCGGCAGCTTGCAGGCACGTCAGAAGGCGCTGCGAGTGAGACTCCCTGTGCTACTTGCAGGGGTGCTGGTCTTATCGCAGCTGAGTTTCACTACGCCCTAGCCGGAGATCAAGATGCAGCAATTCGCCAGGAAGAGATATTCCGAGGGGTTAACGAGCTCAGGGACCTTCGCGAAGAGCTCAACCGCATCGCGGCGATGGTGACAAACAACACGGCAGCTGACGCAACAACACCTGCAGGGCAACCTGCGTCATCATCCAGTGCGGCGCAGGCGAGAGACAGCAGCCGTCGCGCCTGCCACAGATCCGCCTATGCCTTTAGTAGCTGAATCAGCAAACAACGCAGGGACACCTGCTGCGACGGCACTTGCGGCGTTACCTGCTAATGATTGTGGCTGAGGCGCATGGAGGGAACCACCGAGAGGAGTGCACATTGGCTCCAAGTATTACATGCATACATGCCCTACCGGCGTGACATCCGCCCGCGCAACCAGCGTGGGGCGGAAAGCCCGGTGAGCGCACGCAGCGGCACCTGTGCCATATCAGAGCGTGACATGCCACACGCTATGTTGATGGTGAACACAAACGGACAGGTAGCCATGCGCGCCGATGAGGACACGTTTGTGAATATGCCGCTCTCATCTGTACAACGCCCTCACGTGCATGACGAGCACCCGTCGGCCTGGATCTTCGAGAGGAATCCCATCACTGAGAGGCCCGCGGGTACATGAACGTCTTTACGTCCCTGACGAAAAATTTGGTGTTAGAGCAGAGGCGTCGCAAGGGCTTGTATGGAACTACACTGCCCGCAGTGCCAGGTACATTCGGAGAACGCCATGAATGTGCCCTGGCCGCGAACAGCGGGACCATGGTGGACGGAACGCTGACGATCCTGCTGAACATCGGCAGCAACATCCACATCACCGGTCTGCAAACGGCACAGACATTCGGGCGCGCGCCCCGCCCCCGCGGGCGCGACATCGAGAAAGTGAATCTGACGAAGAGGCTTTACGTGTCGGGCGCGAGACGTGGCGCCGCTGTCTGCGGCAAGTCCTTGCGTTGCAAAATTGCACGCAAAGGGGGAAGGAGATCCTGCGGCGAAGCCCGCTGCGTCTAGACTGGACACATACTCAGATAACGTGGCTGAGGGCTCAGGTGAGAATATCCCTGCAATCTTGGGTTTGAGGAGTATGTCCAATATGAGGGCCATCCTGATCCTGGAGCAGGGGCACGATAAGATGGCCATCCCGGGCTCTGAGATGCGCGAGCTCCTCCTTGGGAAAGGAAGGCGCCAGGGCATTTGATCCAATGAAAACGCCCTCG